ATTGCAAGTCATTAATTTTAGCGACGTTTTAGCGACCACATCGTCGGTAATACGATCACGGTAGTAAGATCGATCCGTCGTCGCGAGATTAAACGGTTGCGGCAAGTCAGCCTGACCTGTCGTGAACAGGATGCTCCGCGAACTGTGTGACACGTAGGCATCGCGATCTGTAAAAGTCAAAGGTACCGCTCCGGCACGTGCCAGCGCGCCGATGTCGTGAACTATCGATACGGGAAAGACTCGTTCCAAGTGAACGGACGTAAATAATTCTCTCGTTGAATTAAAACCAGTAATACATGCAGTAACAAACCAGTGAAAAAATGAAAGCAAGCGCAAGGTACGTAAAAGGTATAAAAAAATTCGCTGAAATCAGAAAAGGCTATTAAATAATTGGGTCGTTGTATATGTTGAATATTTATACAGAGACGTGAGTATAAACCGAATTAAACGTATTGATTCGGATAAATTTATTGAACAACTGCACTACATCGCACCGACGTTATTCTACGTAAATCATCGGAAATTCGGACGGCCGCGCGGATATTCGAATTGCACTGTTTCACGTACGCGCGCCTCACATTTCCTGATTAGAACACTATCACTTTTCTTGATATCCTAAATTGACGGAAACGTCATTAATTACGATTCCCGCAGATGCGACGCATAATACGAGCAATAAAATGCTACACAAAGCCATTCCATAAAACAAATGAATTTCCGATCCCGTCGACTGCTCGGTTACCATTCATTTTAATTCGAGTGTGACATCGTGTCATATGACGATCGTTGACGAGGCAGAATGAAGCTGGAAAAAAAGAGCTTGACGTTTTGCACAGTGTACGAAATAATGACAGGCTGGTGCGGTTTGTCCGCCACTCGAGACGCGAAAAATGGTCGATATCGTATACGAATGCATACAATATATACGTTGTCATATTACAGTATTACGTATCATCGCGTACGTATTCTCTCGGATCGTATAACGTCGACTATAGACAGTCACAAAAGTGGATAAAATTAATAAAATGGATAAATCGTTATCGGGAGGAAAACATTTATGTTATCGCACAAAATGGATATGTAACATTTCGTAAACTTTAATAGCATATCAGTAAAGAGCAGACTATGCTACAATAATAAAACTAGAAACAGGACCATTTATATAAATACATCAACTAAATAGGAGAAATGCTAAACCAATTACAGTCAAAGTTAGATGTTAGAAAACATACATATAATTAATTTGCTTTTTTAATGAATTTATCTCAGAAATATGACTGCGCGCTGTGATTATTTTCGAACTTTCAACATAATATCACAATCTGAAATAATAATCCCCTCAAATTTAATTATATCGTTGATTTCATGCTGTTAACATTTTAAAACCTGTAAAGAACTTAGACTAATAACATTAAAGCAATTAAAATAAATTAATGTGAAAGATATACAATGATAGAAAATACAAGTAATTTTTTATTATTTTAAAAAGAAATATAAATAGTCGTATTTAAAAAATAAATAAATATTATTTATAAAAATCTTAGAAAGAAAGAGACGACAAAATACATTTTTAACATAAATAAAAAATCACAAATCTTTACAAAAATAAAGAGCGAAGAGATGCGAAGAGGTATTACTTAAACTTGGTGAGTTACTTATCGTCTCGTACCATAATAAAATGAAAAATCGTGTTAAAGAGAATTTAAATATCTAATGTTGTGCAGCAAATGCGCGCGGAGTTGCTATCGCGAAACACGTCGAATTTTCTTCAACAAAGAAGCGCGAAATAAACGCCAGAGGCGGAGAACAAAAGAGGAAAATAAAAATGAGGGAGTGAGAAAGAGGGAGTGAGAAAGAGATCCGCTCGGGACGAAACGCCGGGATTGTCGGATATGTTTTTGCAGGCAACCTGGTTCGGACAGGTTTTTAATTTATTTCCCTTGAGATCTCGGGGAGCGTACGAATTATATGCTTGGCACGGAGAAACGGGGATAGTCCAAGCAGAGTAACCTCCCCGTCGATACGCGCACTTTTGCATATCACCGCGAGTGCATCGCTAATGATTCACATGTTATACTTGACGCTTCGAGCAATTTTTCAGTTATACGCGATACGCGAACCGCTATAGCATGTATTATTTGTACTTAATATTTTTATCCTTGTATTCTTCTTTACACACACACACACACACACACACACACACAAAATTTCAGTACGATTCCTTTTCTTTGCACCAAATAAAGAAGATTTTCCCTATTGTACACATATCATTTATATACTTCACTTCTTTTTCCAAAGAAATTATATATAAAATAATTAATATCTATTTCTTTTTATCCTTTGGAACCTTACTCTAAATAATGACATTTTACTCTTAAACATTGAAAATATATATTCTGCCACTCTTTTTCAAGAGTGGTAAAATTTTCGCTCTTTAAAGTAATTCTCATATTTCAAATAATTTAGAGATTCAAGGAACACAACAAGTCAGAAGAAAGTCAAAACGACTTTATTTTAACGTCATAAAAATCGAAATAATAACTTTGATTACAAAATTTGACTGTTTTATTAACGTTATTAATAGAGTCATTTTTAATGTTTTATTGACTTTTGTGTGGTTCTTTGGGGAGTAATGTTATAAAATGAGAAAACTTTGATCCAGTCGGGATAAATTTAATCCAAATTTTTAAAAAAACGTGCTATATGGACATTATTAAAATTTGAGTCAAAGCTACCCCATTTTACGATACGCGAAAATATATTTAAGGGTCAATTATCGTATTATCGATTTACACTAAATTACGTAAAGTCAAGTCAGATTCTCCTATCTGGAAATGGTTCTGCAGATAACCACCCAGCTGACCCAGCATGCAAACGCACTCGAAAACAAACGGTGTAGACTTTCGTTCTTCACCGGACTTCGCTCTCTATTTCTCTCGACAGTCCGACATCCGAACGGTGTCCTGATATCCCAGGGCTCTATCTCGCGCTATCGATTGCTGCAGATATCGCCTTCACCGCGTCGCATCGCGTCGCGTTGTGTCGCATCGCGTTCTATTTGTCTCTCCCTGTGTCTGTGCGTGATACGAGGCACATTTTCCACCGTCGTTCTACCTGCTAGCGATCATTGTCCTTTCCCGGTACATCTGTCGAGCCGACTTGGTGCAACAAGTTTGCCATTGTCCCGCATAACTGTCGTAAGCCGCGAGTGGAGAATCCCTTGACCGGATCTCGGTGGCGGCGACCTTGCGCCTCGAGCGATTGGAATTTCACGCGAATCGTCGGAATCTTCCCTTGTCATGATGCATTATGATATTCAGAAGTTTGTTATAATATGATTAACGGTAGCGAACGATGAATATATGAAAGGGCGAAAAAAGTTTGAATATTTTTTTTTAATTGTAATACTTTCGGTATATCATCGATACTTCAAGATTTTGTAAATATAAGTAAATGTAAGGTAAATGTACTAGTTAGTGGACAGTTAATGAACATGAATTTATTGAACAAAATGACAATTTTAAATATTAAACTTTTAATGATATATATACACAGAGAAAAGGTTTCTTTAAATCAAACAAATTTTTATGCATTGAAATAGTCCAACCAAATGGATATTTAAATTAAGAATATGATTATTTAAATTATTTGAGCATTAAAATTAAATTTTTTTCAATTAAACAAAATATGTTCCATTTAAAATTAAATTTGTTTCAATGAAACAAGTATAAATAGATATTTCGAAGCCAAACAAATCTTTTCTTTGTATATGACTCTAAATAAATTCGTTGTCCATAACAATTTAATAAGACGATTTATGACAATTTAAAGTGAACTTTTAAATTCTTATAATTCGTCTTATAATTTTTAAAAGAATTTAAAACAATTAAAATTAAAATTTTAGTATTCAATAAATAATAACGGTTCCAATAATTAAAAAAATTAAACAATACAATATAGGAATTACTAAGAACCAACTCAAGATGATGTATGAGTAACAATATTATTGTAAGCAATATAAAAACGTACAGACGTTTCAACCTCTATGGGATCCTTCTGAATGTTAAAAAATAAATTTTAATGTTACCGGTAAAATTTTTGTCATTTTGTCCAATAATTGGATCGTATCTACTCTAACTGCAGATACATTTAACTAGCAACTTTTATTGGTAATTTTCTGTCGTCAAACGGACGTTTACTGCATTGCAGATAAAAATGTTTTAAAAAGTTAGCTTTGTCAGCTACATCTCTTTTTCTTTTCATTGCGAAACCAATGTCCTTTCTTAATACTTTAAACAAATATCAAAATACCGCAGTATGCGATTCCATCTGTCGTTGGCACAGGGCACGAGCGCCAGGGTGAAGGGGTCAAACCTATGAAAGCAGCTGGAAAAAGACACGCCGAGAGGGCTTCAGCCGAGAGGGCTTTTTCATCCTGTCTCCAACCTCTCGTTGCTTTTTTCTTTTCGTTATCCGCGATGAGAACCGTGCGACAAAGGCTGCTGGCGTTAATACCGCGGCGTTGCGAATCACCATTGTTGTAACAACCCTTTGTGTTTGAAATTATTTATATGGAATTTGTAAATCGAATAAACGAGATATTGTATTGTTTTTTGAAACGGAAATTGTAAAACATAAAACTCTCACGTTTTAATTGACCTCTTATCGAATTTACATCTTCCCGGAGTTCAATAGTTCTTGTTATCTTTTAACGTTTATTTTACGTCACTGCTTCATTATTTTTGTAAAATTTCTCAGTTTTATTTAATCTTATGCAAAACTGTTCTATTAAAACAATTCTGTCTATTGTAAAAACTAGTTCTCTTATATCCTTTTCTACCAATGTAGATTAATTTTAATCTCAGTTTAACTTACTTATTTTTTTTTAATTCTTAGAACTAGAAACAAATAAAAAGTAAGTTAAACCAAGATTAAAGTTAATCTACGTTGGTAGAAACGGGATTTAGATCCTGTACATTTATTGTATACGTCGTACTTACCCCGCTCCAGCCATAGGGGAGGAAACCGCTATGCTCGGACCAATTGTTGGAATCCACGTAAAACATGCCCGCCGCCATGACGAAGACCCAGACGGCGAGATTGATGGCGTTCAGCACATTGTTGAACACCAGCGACTTCTTCACCCCTGCCGCCATTAGCAGCATCATAAGTATCGTGATGACGAACGCGAGAAAATCTGGCGGCCGTCCTGGAACAAATGTGATTCGAAACTTTAGCAAGTCATGATTATTGTTTATCGTATATATAAGTGATGAATATGTCAGTTTAGAAATACGAAAAAATCTAAAGACCATTATAGAACAATCGTGATTAAAAATAGCAAGATCCGTTAGAAATACAGAATTATTCTACATAAAAGATGAATCTCAGGAGAATAAAAAGAAACAATTCGTAAATGAAATAAGACGCTTAGTTCATAGAAATGCTATTTTCTTAAAAATATATTTCCTTTAAATATGTTTTTTTTTCAATCAATGAAGTGTAATTGCCAATTTACCCAATATTTGGAGCTAAAATTGTAATTGAAAAATGTTGGCTGTGTGAAAGTCACATGCATGCATATATATATTTTACGTCGATAATATGTCGAATGTGCCAATTTAATTACAGCCTTTTCACATTAAAGTTTTTTCATGTAGAGTTTTTTCTGTCTATTTTAGAACATCATTCAATTCTTTACTCGCGAATAAGATTCGCGGAGCCAACAGAATTGAATTAACCTAGGTCGTTAATTCTATCGACATTTCGTTACGAGGAACATGTGTGCGGAGAAACTTTCAACCGGGAATGAAGCAATGTATCAGCGAACGATCGATATGTTCGAACGGTAAAAACCGTTGTACTCGCTAATGATGAAAAAAAAGTACCTAAATGCCCGGGATTCTTACTCGTCAAATTACTCGGATCTCCTCCTCTACGCTTCGCTCGAGCACGACGTTCCTGTGACAGCCGAACGCGGAAGAAATTCCCGAGGCGGAAATTCTTCAACAAGTGGGGAACCGACGTAATTCATGCGGTCGGAGATAATCTGACGATTCATGAGCTAGGGAAAAAGCAGCGATTTTTCCAAGAAGCGCGCGGGAAGCTCGCCGCTTTCATTCAAGTGTCCGATTGAAAAAGTCGATTCTGTAGAAAAATCAAATAAGAAATCGCCGACAGAAATTCATGCTGCAAAATGAATTAATTCTCGATACATATTCGGGGTATAAAATAAATTTCCACTAACTTACATCGGTAGCCTCTGTCTACTTTTTACGGAAAAAAAACGGTGGGTTGTGTTGATAGTGTTACCGTGTTTATAAAAGAAGATACATAAACCGCGTCAGAAGGGATAACTCCATATCGCGATGAATAAAGATTGCCACATTATTTAAAACGGAAGAAAACAATCTGCTCGAGTGACTTTCCCAAGAATAACTTGAAAGATCGCTGATTAATTTGTCCCGACTTCATAGTGGCTTCAAAGTTGCCACAAATTCCTAGTCCTAAAATTTCATAGCTTTTCCCTGATTTCCAGACAGATAATTTTTTCTAACTTTCAATAATATTTTGAAATTTTTTGTACTTTTGTTCTGATTTCGACACTGTTAAATGTTTTGTTGAAAGAGCAATTTAACATAGTAATGTAAATTATTATTAAATGTTGCTGACGCTGCTTGCATTTAATTGTCAAGTTGGTACATTATAAAAAATAGTGGTGTCTATATAATTCTCACTGTGTCAATATTAACACCAATGTTGATTTAACACCATGAATTTTAAATTCATACCATGATGCTGTTGATATAAACCAGAGGTTTAAAATCCACACCACGTTGGTGTTAGTATTAACACCAACTCAGTGAGAATTACATAGACATCTGGGTTTTAAATTCACACCAGGGGTGTTAAATCCACGCCGATATTTTTTAGAATGTAGTATTTCAAAACTGCGCAAGTATGATGTATCAACCTTTATTTAATAATGAAGAATTTTAATTTTCCAGAAACTTTTGCAAAATTCTTTGTCTTTTCCCTGATTTTAATCGTTTTCGCGATTTCCCTAACATTTCCCTGATTTCTCTGATTTTCAGTTTTGTGGCAATCCTACAAGTTTCTAAAGTCTCCTTTCGAATTGCGAGATAAAAAATCCACGCTGCATTATTCTATAGCAAGCAACGTAAAGAATCAGATGCATTGGTATGACCTCGATTCGCCAGTCCTGTTGCTGATTCATTTCCTTTGCAGCGTCAATGCACAGGCTACGCGCGCAAACGAAAGAGGCAATTTTCGACCGAATCAAACGGTTTTGATCACTCAAGCGACCCGCTCGATCTCTATGTCGGCGAACGCGTACGTTTGTATGCAAATACAATCGTCGAACGATGTGCAAAATGCATTGCCGGTTGAAAGACCGCGATCAAACACATGGACAGGTACAGATAAACGCAAATACAAATTTTAACGGTAATTAACTCGTTGAATTTCGCGATGTAAATACGAAATGATCAAGTACCGAAACCCTAATCCTTAAAATATGGTGTGACATTTATTCCAAATAATTAAGTGTTTATTATTATTAATTGTACTTTAAAAACGTACAATAAACTAAATATGTAAAACAAATATTTATTTTTCATTAAACTTAAATGCGTCCCTATATGATCAACTTTAATTATTTATAATTTAAAAATTATATTGCAATTATCAACGCATCGTTTCAAGTATTGTAATTACTCTCACTCTCGATTTAATTCTCATTAAACTCTTTTGAACAGAAATCCTCTGCTCGAAATGATTGAAATGTGCGATTTGTAGGCGGGATAAGCTTTGAAAGTCCAACAGAGTTCTAGTTCCTAGAATTTAAAAGAAAATCAGATATCAATATCAAGACGGATCTCTTACAGCAAGACTTCAAAGCTTAGGAAAATTATATGGAAAGACGATCATCATAAAACAAGTCGATCCGAGTATCGCGATTCGATGAAATTGTACTCTACAATGAAATTTCAATTAAAAAGACGTCTCCATCACGACTATTATTATACTAGTATTTGATTCCATGGATCAGACATGATCCCGTAACGAAGAAACTTTCCAAGGATGATGTCGGCTCAGAAGATGCGAAGGTAATGTAAGAAAATCCGCATATAGAATGCCGATCACGAACATAAATGGCAATATAGACGAGATCGCAAGCTTTGGGATTTATCTCCACGAAATGGAGTGCATGCCTGCATGTCGGCCTCGATATCGAACGGCTTTCCTCGCGTCCGCAGACATAACAATCGATAACAGCGCACATAAGAGAAGATGCATTGCATCGTCAGACTTGACGAGAGAGCTTATTCTCTTAGGAATTGTCCTTCGAGAAAATATTTTTCTATGCATCTCCCTTGAATCTTGATAGGTCCTGCTGTTGATTTTCTCGTTTCCACAAGTCGCGGTAATGTCGAGAAGTGTGAAGTACAATTAGCAAGCACAATCTCTCTCTCTCTCTTTCTCTCTCTCGATATCTCTCACACGCTCTCTCTAAACTGTCATATAGGAATAAACGTCAACGTGCTCCAGTAACTGTGACACTCTTCGCATGAGCATGACCGCATTATTGGATAAGTTCAATGATACCGTTATCTACAACGACGCCGTCGGGTATAAGCCGTGCTGAAACTAGAGTTCTGATTAAGTATCCCCTCTAACTGCCGGTTAACGATCGCGAGAACAGTGTCAGGAATAATTTTACGAGGCAGTGTCGTCTGCGAGCCGTGTCGCATCTCTCGCTAGTCCTGCGAAGCTTCCGTTCTCTCGTAGACTATTCTCGAAAAGGTACAATATTGACGAGACAAAAGAGGATAAGAAATTAAACAAATTATTTAAGAGAGACCGGGGATCGTTGGCACAGTTTTCACAATTTTGGCAATCGACTTTTTGAACAATTAATCACTCTGTTTAAACTATACTAAAAACGAACTTTTCTCATTTCTCTACTGTGTGTGTGTGTGAAAGAAAAATTAATAAATTTTAATACATACTGCTTTAAATGATAAACATTTATTTACAACAAATAAATATTTACTCAATAAAAAATGATAGTTAAATTATAAATTAATGGTTTTTATATCAAATAAATATATGTTTACATTTAGTAAATATTTACTTAGAACTATTCAAACAAATATTTAGTATTTTTTTAGTGATGTACAATATATTTTTATGACAGGAACAACCTTGTATATTGTACAGTTTTTTTTAGTAATAAATGAAGTGCAAACATTCTCATGCATGAGCAATAACAAGTCAAGTTAAGGGGATCCTAAATCGAAGGCTGAACTCGATCGAGGTCGATAGTGCAGATTTTTTTATTTTTAAATTTGATAATAGTAACATCTCTGATTCATTTCTTACATTATATTATATCTGGAAAAGACATTAAAAATGTTAAAAAAGGCATCAACAAGTATATTTTGTAGAAAAAACCAAATATAATGCCATAAAAAAAGAAGTGTAATCAAAATAATATTTCAAGTATCTTTATTTAAAAAGTCCTATAGAATACAATTCTCCGAGTGGTATCTTGAAAGCATCCTTATGATGTGGACGTCCTTTGGATATTCTTTAAGACAGTGTATGAGATAATCTCACAATTATACTGCACAAAGTACGGATGGCATTTGAAGTGTATTAAGTATAACAACACATTAAAATGAGAGAACGAAATACAATAGATGAGAGGCGCAAATAACAAGTAGAAAAGTGTAGAAATAAAAAATTAAAAATGAACAAGATATATGTATATAAATTTATTCTCTCAAGCTGAAGAACATTAATATGAAATTTTGAAACGTTCATCAAAAATTTACTTGCCTTCTCTTAAATCAGATTTGTTTTTTTTTTATTATACTATTTGTTTAGATTAAATAAAACATAGAGGAAAGAATCTATGTTATGAAAGAGATATATTTTGTGGTAATTTTTTTCCGTTACATCTCTCGCCATAAATACATAAATGGAACACAACATGCCTCTTGTGCCATCGAACCTCGGTTTCCCCTATTTTAAAAAGAACATGTGTGTCGACTGTAAATTTCTCATTTCTTTTCGCAAAAATATACGCTGTACATTACAATAATACGAACTCTTAAAAACGTTATTCTTTGCTTAAAATTCAGTAGATATTTATTTAAGATTCATTAATTCAGTTACACCGTCGCGTTAAATTTGAAATGGAAATCGCTGACATATGCATCGAGAAGCGCTGCAGAATTAAAAAGATCGAAATGCTATCTTGCTAATCTAGCAAATAAGATGAGCGCTCGGATTAAGGAACAATCTCAAGGATTAAACTCTCCTCTCGAAAAGCTCGATGGCAGATGGACTACGAAAATACGAAGATGACATGGAGGGAACGGAAAGGGTTGACTACGGCGCGCGGCGTCCAGGTGGACAGGTTAAAAAGCGTCGGAGCGTGTGGTTCGCAAACCGGTTCGGATCGATGAGGTCCACAGGTGCCAGACCTAGTCTCATCCGCGCAAGCGCCCCTCTCGCACCCCCTCATGCTTTTGTCCTCCCTCTTCCGCACGCCGCCTAGCTTTCCAACCCCTCAGACTCTCCTCCACCACAACTCCATCGTTTTAACCCTATCCCTCCTCCCGTTCGCCCGACGTTTCTCCAGATCTATCCCCTACCATCCAGATTTCCCTCTACGTGCAACGTGCATACCAACCGCAAAACGCGTGTAGCCGAGATATCTGCGTAAGTTACGCATGGAACGTGCGAACTAACGAATTACACGTGTTGGTAAACATCCGAAGGGATTATCAGCGGATTAGAATTTCACGGGATTGACGAAATCACGAGAATTAGCGGATTTGGATGAACTTTGAGAGATATATGTTCGAATCCGACGTTTCCGAAACTTGATATGACAGTTGTTTCTAATGAAGGGGAGAAAAGGTCGAAAAGATTTGCGGAAATTAAATCTTATCGTATTAGTACAAAGGGCCGGAGAAAAACTTCTAAAGATATCTATAATAGGTTTATAAAAGATTAGGAAGAACCCTCAACATCCACACGATACTTCTTTCTTTCGAATTTTTATGATTATTTGAGTGATAAAAACGACCAATTCTGGAGTGATGCGCGAATTTGTTGTTTTATTTCAATCGAGTCACGAATGACATCATTTCGCCCGTATTGGTTTCATCGAATATTTCACTGAATTTTCATCGTTTCGAAAATATTTTCAAAATTAATTTGACTCTCGACATCAAATATCGCGACGCGATTCGGCTCGCGCGTCAACAATTACAAGCTCTCGTGCGCGTTGCAAGCGTAACAGCTGCAAACTCATCTGCAAATGTCTGCACAACGAGCGAGAAAAAGTTAATTAAGGTTGACCGGTTTTGCGGCCACTTGGCGCCGTCGTGGCGCATCCGCTGTTCCTCTACTGGCGCAAGTGAAACTTTCCTCGCTGCCGCGACACGCCTGTGTAAAGAAGTTTGATAAAGGGAGCTAACCCCTTTGTACACCGAACCATTAATAATTTCAGCTTCCGGGACATTACACGGGCAAAATGTTGGTCATTATACAATCATCTTTTCCTAATATCCTTCAAAGTATCTTCAATAAATACATTCTTCGTAACAACATTAATTTTCAATATTGATACTGCGGACATAAATCCACTTTACAGATAATTTATCGAGTTTCCCAAGCAATTTGAATATTTGCAATTTTTATCCAAAGGTAATATTACTTTTCATACTACACAAATATTTTCGCAAATTTGCGATAACTTTCTTTCTTTGCATTTTGAAAGAAAAGGCATGCGTGTTCAGATACGTAACTTAATCGGGTATATTCAACTGTACTTTCATACGTCTAGCGTAGTATATCAAATTATAAAAGAGCATTTTCTCCCTTGAGACGTGAAAGCACCGACTGAATTTACAAACGGTGTCAGAGTTAACATTTTTCGCGTGTCGCGTGTATTAAAAAGACGATGAAGCTCGTTCGCCTTATTCTTATGAGTTTTTGAAATGCGAACGAAATTTATGGGACGCGCGGCATTTTCATAACGTTACGTGCGTTAATACCGTAAAAGTTCATTCTTACATGGCGCTCCTTTGATTGCATGGGAAATACGTCGAAAGAGAGAAAAAGTGCAATATCGCGAGAGCCGTATTTAATTAAATTCTTCTTTTTTTTTAGAAACGCAAGATGGACGGTTAATTAATGGTAATAATATAATCGCCGCGAGTGTCTGTAATTTAATATACTAAACTTTTTTGTTTAACGTTACTTTTATATTATTACAAAAGCTCTCGAAAATTTCAGTTTACTATTCATGTCATAGACGCAACGTGTTGCATAAAAGCATCATAACGTGGGCAATATTACGTTCAGCGTTATAGTATTCTGTTAATACCGATCACGAATATAATGAAAACCGATGATGTCTAACGTTTAGTCGATATTTATTAATCGTGAGAAACGGAAATTGATGGAAACATTTATTTTATTTTGATGGATCTGCTGTGCGGGCAATTAATTAGACTCAATAATACTAAATTTATATTTTATTAATTATTATTGAACTCCGGCGCGAGGGATATTATATTTTTAATTACACGGGTTAACAAGTTGCTACGATCGAACTGAATACGAGCAACACGCGATAAAATTTACAGTTCACGCAACCGTCACGGCTTATCTTGTAAGAAAAATAATGGATATCGATTTACGACAATGATAAAATTGATGGAAAAAGATATGATGTTTCGTGTCAAGAACACAAAAATTGGCGGGAACGAAAGCACGGGAAAGATATCCCCCGTGAATTACTCCGAAAATTGACTGACGGGAAAGAGGTTGATTCAAGCAGAAAACGTCGTAACACGAGAAATCACTCACGTCGCTTTTGAATCACTCGCTTTGGACGAGAGTAACGTCGGACTACTCTCTAACAATGCCGCACAAAAAGATTCAGACGTCAAGAAATTCCGAGGGAATTGGAGCGTAGAGAACTCTATAGCCTCTGGGAACGATCGGAAGAGAAATCTTCTGCAACATTATTAGTCTTACAGCAACGTTAATCTTATTACATTCATGTTTGATCGGAAGGTTTTCGAAAAAATGTTGGCAAACGCCAAACTTATATCATGCAACTTTTATTGAATGTGATATGATATTTATTGAAACGGCCATGGTATATGTATGTCACGGAGTAGTGACGTAAATGCTTTTTTCCCCTTTCCTTACAAAACAAAAGAATATTATGCTAATTATGATTTTGTATGTGAAAATGTTTTTTTGTCGTTAGGTGCATTTTCTAATTATACATTCTACTGTTTTTGTAGCATAATAATGCGTTTATTTGCTAGCAGCATCATAACTAATTATAAAATTCGCGACGTTTTTCCGTTATATCTTCCTCAAACATCGACGTTCACTTTAGAGAATATTGGCTTAATGTCGCTACCAAGCATCGCTGAATATTCATAAAACGGGCATATGACGTGAATTAGCTGGTCTACAATTTGCGCTCATATGCACGATCGATCCGTTTCGCCTGTGGCTACGCGTGTCATAAATTAATGGACGAATCCCAGAGTCCTTCCCTTTCGGAGCATGTTTCGGAACCCTCAACCTTAATCTTATTAATAGATTCTTCGATCCTTCTTTAATCAAATCAAATTGCAACATATGTTCAAATATAATACAATTAAATAACGTTATTGTTCGCTGGGATATTCAAAATTTTATTTTCGTAATTCAATTATCAATAAATTTAGTATTAAAAATTTACGAGAAAGACTCGCTGCTTTCGTTTAAATTATTTGTAAAAAGAACTCCAGATTTACTAAAAAAATCTGTCGCTAAAATTAAGGTCGACTCGAACGCTTCATATATAAACGTCGGTCAACAAGAAAAAACGTGGCATACAGGTTGCCGTCATGCGTTCTACCCTTTTTACACGTCGACGAAAAGCTTGTTCAGTAAATTAATTCGCTTTAGAAAATTGGATTGGACTCGGTTGAGCGTGACGATTTTTTTTGAATTAACAATCCCAGCAATGTCACCATCTAGAAACGTACGAGGTGTATATTTTGTTTGTCGAGTAGTTTTTCGTTCGAGCTTATCGTCGCTAATTATCTAACATGAAATCGATGAGATTAATGGGGAAACCCCATTATTCACTCGCTTTATTCGCGAAGAAGTTAGGAGACATAAAAGTCGATTTTAATTACTTAGGGATCTACATGTGGCTTTCATCGAGTATAAACTTGAAAACTAAGAAATTAAAGAATAATCTCTTTATCCGAAAAGATTACGTTATTTTATATATTTTTTTATTTCTATTATGATGTGAAAAGATTATTTTATTTTATATATCTTTTTATATTTCTATTGCTGGAGTTCCTTTTTCCCTTCTTGTTCTTTTTTCCGACAATTTTGCTGATCAGTAAATACGTAAAAATTTTGTTGGCGAATTCTGCGAACATAAGCAACGCATGTAGTTCGCACGCGATGCATTTGTCAAATCATCGATCTCTTTTGTCGTCACTTTATCGCGAAAAAACGCATAGAGAGCGTTTCGTGATCGAACCAGGGACAAAGGAGTCACGTCGCTAAACTCTCGGCAAGAAGGAACGGAAGTCTGCTCGTAAATTTCTACAACGTCGTTCCCAACGACGACACTGGTGACTATGACTCGCCGTTTCACAATTTTACGAGCGACTGGAACGGAAACTTTAAGGCTCACTGACGCGTGAAGAATAAGACCAAGGTGAACTCATATAAGACGTTTCAAAAATTGTATGTCCGAATGTTATGTTTAATTTAACGTAGATTGTACATATTGCAAATATAGATTACTGAACAGAAACATTTCATGGATATATATTCCAAATATAATATTACAAATGTATAACAAAATACGTAAAATATTTCGTAAAATATTAAAAATAATGATTCCCCAATGAACAGAATGTCTAAAATCAACGCATAAGATATTTCATAAAGAATTCTGAAAGATATATCTTAAAGTTGTCTTATGCGTAGATTTTAGACATTCTGCTCATTGGGTTATAGCCTACGTTAATTTACCGCGTTCGAAGATCTAATTTCTTCTCCCAGTAAAATCTGTCATTTAAATTTGTTTGTTTTGGAGTAATTGATCGTTTGCAGTGTCCGAAGTCAATACTCACCGAGTATGGTGCCAACGCTGTTGGCTATCGCCCCGGAAATAGCACCGTTCGCCAACGCATCCAGGCAGGCGCTAAGGGCGCACGCACACGCACTCGTACCTATAAGGTACTCCAGCACCATGTTCCATCCAATAATAAATGCTATTAATTCGCCTACTGTCACGTAACTGTACATATAAGCGCTGCCGGTCGTATGAGGCACTCGTACTCCAAACTCGGCGTAACACGCCCCTGTAATCACACGCAAGAAGAAAAGATATTCAGTCACTGAAGGACGAGTAGAGCGGAAGGAAAGAGGAAATTATTAAAAAATGGCACCTACATCGCTAAATCCACGCGTTAAACGCGTCGAATAAATAAAATGCAAGATCGGAAAATACGTGAAAATTTTGTTGGTGAATTTTGCGAATATGACGCACATCATTCGCGCATGGACAAATACAGTTTGGTGATAAACTAGAGTAAAAAGATAAAAAATATAAACGAATGTTTGACGGATTTATAAAGTAAGAGAAACAATCCTATTTTTCTGGACCATCGAAGCGAATCTTAATAATATTCATATGTAGATTTTAGAAATACATTTCTTCAATTTCTGTAAATTACACGCCGATTCAGACTTAAAACGCAATCATGAACTAAAATTGGAAATAACATCATAAAATAAATTACATTGATCGTCAATTAAATTAATGACGCTAACGAGCACCTTAAAATACTGCAAAAAACATATTGCAAAAAATATTACCTTAGCCAGAGTTTGAATCCAAAGCTTCTGACTTTCCGAGATAATATCTTATCAATTCGACTACTTATGTGGAGATTGTCGCAATAACGAATAATTAGAGAAAGTCATTTTTCCAGATTTAAGTAAACAATTATAAGTGGAAATTAAGAATAAATCAAATAAAAGAAAGAATTCTATTTTCGGTTAAAATGGATCTTGATGCTTAATAATATTCATAGAATTTACAAATACATTTTTTTCAGTTTTGTAAACTGCGCGTTGATTTAGTTTGTCGAATGTTTTTTTCCCATGAAAAAATTGCGATTTGAAAATAACGATCGATTAAAGATTTCACGAATTTTCACAGTGGCAACACGATAATTTTGTTGCTCTGGATTTATTTGTTTTTTCCTGTTGCTACCTAAAACGAATTATGCGCTTGCACATTGTGGCGTGACAGAATATTACCTTCACTACCGACTATCATCGTGCTTCCGTAATCGACTGATTAAACCGATTCAACCTTTCAACGTGAATTACATCGCAAGATAGATCCCCTATGCTCAACCGGCACGCTAACATAAACGCTATAATCCGCTTACATCTTTTCATAATCGTCAGAGACGGATGTTGTCTGTCCAGTTCAACGATATTAATAGCCCCGGCGGTTGAATTAGGAAGACGCCTGCACGAAATACAGGAGATCCGGGTTCAAATCCCGGCTGGGGGATTTGAACCCCTCATATGTAACATTTTTCGCAATAAATTATTTACTGTTTTTGCGATATTTATTTGCGTCAAATTATTAACAGCTTTCTAAGATGCTTATTTGCAGCAATAACATTAAATTGCTTGCCAGTTTAATCAAGTCCGAATCGGCGTGTAATTTATAAAATTGAAAAAATGTATTTGTAAAATCTTTGATTGTGATATTACTATAGTTTCGGATTGAAACTGTGTTCTAAAGCCAATAAATAATTGGCGCACAGTTGACTTAAACTGGAAATTGTATAAATTTACACACACAAGAAGTTGTGTGTACTGGGTGCCTTCCATTTAATACACAAGTCAACACAAGTTCTGTTTTTGTTATTCATGGAATGCAAAATAAGATAGAATAACATTTTGTCGACTTGTGTCGCTAAATAAAAGGTACTTATTATTAAGCACGAAGAATCATCTTCACCGAATATGGCCTTTTTCACTCATGTGTGTTTAATATAGTGTTACGCAAAACAGAATTTGTTCTGTAGAATTACTGCCTCACGTCCTGATTTCGCGTCCACGTGGAACGACAAAGTTACCTTTGACATCAACCGCCCTCGCTATCACTTCTATTTATATATCGACGAAGTCAACGACAATGTTAAAGAATCCATTGATGCTAAACTCGACATTTATGTCGCGTGGTATTACAAAATGTGCCGCCAAGTCTAAGAAAAGAAAAGACGGCACGAAACTTCGCGGAAGCAGAAGTCTTGGCTCTACTTTCGCGGTTATCGAACGACGAGAAGTGTAAAGCCTATCACGTGTATGTACGACATACATCGAAAGAGAAATCCTATCTTTTCGAATGTCTATTATAATAGTTGAACGAGAACATAACAAAAGATATATCTATAGAAGGACAAATATGATTAATAACTCTTAAACACCTTTCCACACTCAACTTTTTTCCAATGCTTTTCCAATACTTTGCCAATTGTTTGTAACTTTTTTACTAATAATTTATACTTTTTTACTAATCTTTAGAGAACAGAGATCTATTTTTAAAATCTTACAATTTTTCCTTGAATAAAGTTTTGTTATAATTTATTATTTCCTAGTGTTTTAGTGTTTCAAAATATGACACTGTGTTCTACAAAAGTTAATAAAAATACATACACATTCACTTGATACTATTATGTCCCTGAATGTCTGGTGCTTCAATTAAAAAAAATTTTTTTACAATATATTCTTTTTTATAAAAGTTATAAGCAATCAAATTGAGTTGGATATGTATACAGTGTACTATTTTCATAGTGAAGCATTTAAGAGCTAAGTTTGTTGAGAAAGAAAGTTTGACGCAGAAAATTGAAAACTGTACGAGATCACGTTAGACTGCCTTTAATTTGAGTACTTCGCTTCTGATTGAGCCAATTTTTCTCGTAATAAGATGCAGTCACGACGCGTCGCCTTCGGTATCCAATAATTCCGAGATTACGGTAACGTCAACAATAATTGCTATACTATGTTATGTATCCGCCGATAGAGCATCTCTATAGCAACATTCTCCTATTAGCAACGCAACGAATTAATTAAACAACACGCCGCGACTCACCATGTCCTAGCTTTAATCCTATCATTAATTCGCGCGCTGCATCGATCTCTGAGTATCCACACTAATTACAGCATTACTCCACTAAATCGATAATTACCGAAAACGCGGCCGCGATCAAACGAGGTAACGATCGAGATGTAACGCATTTCTTTCTCGCATGTGCTTTCCATTTAACATCTTAATTTTACTTAAAAAAAATAATGTGTCATATAATAGTACTATTTTAATTAAAAATAATGTTGTTGAGTCACACATACACACACGCGCGCGCGCAATAACACTATTAATGAAACACAAATATGCTCTTGATTTAATGAAATTTTATGTTTCATTAATTTGTTGTTGTTAAGTCAATAAGATTATTTTCAATTAACATAATATGTTGATACAATATCATTCTTTTCCAGTATACAGAAATCTAATACTGGCCAATTTAATATTTCGATTTATTATTGAAAAACTAATTAATTACACTTATTTGGAGTATTAGAAATAGTAAACGATAGTGTTTTTAATATTTAAAATAAATAATTAAATACGGTCTTCTAGTCTTCTATTAAATTGGCCAGTATTAGAGTTTTGTAAAGGATATATCTGATAATTGATATCTTTCCATGGTTATAAAAGATTACGGTAGAACAATGATAATTATAAAAAACCATTTACGTGTATATTCAATTATAATGTCAATTAAAAATACGAACATTTATAATGTAATTAAACCTCCCTACTTTTAACTTACAGAAATCGAGAAATTTATCTGTATATTTTGTCCTTTGTCATTTTTTTACCTTTTTGTAAGGTAATGGCATCGATTAAAATAAATTTGAATTAATCGGTCTTTCTGCAAAGTTAAAAGAAATTCTACCTATAAGGATCAGAGTGGTATCTTTCTCGCTCTCTTCGTACAAACGCAATACTGACGCGATTCAACAAAGCGACGAATAGCGTAACTGATTGCATCACAAGGACGCAAACCGCAGCGAAATTACAGACGATAAAGGGTTCGGTGAAACAGGCGCGAGCAAAACAAGACTGATTGAGACACGTTCGGTCCATTCATCGCTTCCGTATCAGTAGAAACCATGGCATGCTCGAAATTTCACAGCCGGGCGAACATCGCGCCTGCAAGCTGCAACACGCACGGGACAGTTTACGACCACGACGCGCGACGGTACGTTTAGAGCCTCATATCGCACGATGAATCGTAAATTTCGTTTGTCGGGTATTTTCCGCGGTTGCTTCGCACGAGTCGCGCGATATCGATATTTGGGACAGTCGAACCAGCGAGATGTTATCGATACGACGAACGGAGCTCGGTGTCGAACGTTAAAGTACTCGTAACGGTAAACTAACACGTCGCAATGCAGCACTTACGCCTGTAACAGTACCTGCAAAGTAAATGTAAAGTACCTCTTCTATATAGTTAAAGTAAACTATTCGCGCGTCAACTCCGGACATGGTTTTTAATTGTCCCGCTGGTGTCTGATTTCTAAAAGAGTCTCTACGCAAGAATAAAAGGAAGGTTTTATGTATTAAAATATCCTGTTGTAAAAAAAAAACAATTTTCGTATATGAATATACTGTAACTGTATGTATAACTGCAATTGTAATTGTAATTGTAAATAATTTCTAATTTTCCGTTGGTCATATGAAATTTTGCATCTTCCAGCAACCCGGGTCATTAAGTTTTAGTACAGATTCATATTAATTTGAATAGTACATGCAAATCTGAAAAATTTTTTCACATTTGAAAACTTTAATAACGAATTTTTATTATCATAGAAGTCGGATTGCACTTTATTTATTGTATTTTTTATAGATTAAAATTGATCTACCAGAATTTACAATAATATCGATTACAAAACCCGGTCCAAAATTTGGCCGCACTGAAAAAAAATATTTATTAAATATAAAGATATATTTATTTGATACAAAGAAATGTTAATTTGATTTGACAATCATTTTTTTTACTAAACATATATTTATTTACTGTAAGTAAATATTTAGTTGGCAGTATTGAACTAAATATTTATTAAAATTGACTATATTTTTTTCTTAGTGCAGCAGAGAATTAAATCGTCCACTGCGGAAACTGCAAACATCCAAAGGAAAAGTTAAATAAAATTAACGATTAATTAACAATTGTAGGAATCTTTATTCAAAGAAGATATTCCAGTTATTTGGCTTTAAAATACAATAATTAATTCATACATTATCAGTATAAACTATTTTTATTAATTGATTTAAAATACAAACCCTTTGTCTTTTGGAATTATCAGCCGCATACAGGAGCAATGTCAAACGAGTTTCGTCTTTCTGTTTAATATTATAATATATATTAATAATACGAATTATAAATATATAAATGTTAATTATTGCAGTTTGAAGCCAAATAACCTTTAAATAAAGTCTTCTGTAATTGATAAATATCGGCTTTAATTAATTTTTCTCTTAGTATTCGTAGTAGTTGCTCTCCTTTAAATAAAAAACATCGAAAACACATGCAATGATTATTACAATGTAAGTTATTTTAAATAGCGTATGCATTCTATGGTTACGTGTATTACATTGTGAGAGTATATGTATTAGACTATCGCTGGGTATGTGAAATAAGAGATTATCATTACTTCAATATACTGCAATAATATCGTTCATATTCACCTCATGTTCTCTACAAGAAAAGAACGATTTTGTTGAATTATCTATAAATTTAGCTAGATATCTACAGATCAGGAAATCATTTTGTTGAACAATCTAAATAATTACATAGCAATTTTAAGCATGACAAACAATACTGCAAAAAATTTTGACATTCTATCAACCCGTTTGAGCGTCCTGCATAATTATTTTAATACAAAAATCATTATCAAATCTATAGGTATCTAGCTGAACTTTTAGATATTTCAGTAAAACCATCCTTTCTATGTACTCTCCCCTACTCAAGTTATCCGTTTACGAAATATGCGATTTCTTTTACTTCAATTCGATTCTCTTCAGTGATATTGAACATTAAAGATATTTGCACGAGATTCTGCAGAATTGCGCTTATACGCGTAATTTGAATCTACTCGTGGCGTTGTGGAGTGGACAAATTCGTACGTGATACGTCTACATATATCGACCGTGGAAAAATTTTCCGTATCATATATTCCGCCACCGAAATTCATATTTTGTAGAATAAGCTTCTTATCTGCGGCCACACCGTGGACTACAAATTCCTTCTACTGCGAGCGAGAAAGATGCCTGACTTATCGCGCTGCCGAAATTGTCTGAGCTTTCCAGCAAGGAAATCTTCCAACGGGAATCATCGCCTCGTTGTACAACAGCAATCATGCGAGATATGTAATGCATATTTTATAAAGGAATTTACCTCGCGAGTAGTTCTCTCGTCGCTTGATCGTATGAGCTGTATGTAGTGATAATTTAGTGCATGCAAACGTTTCATTTATGCATCTTTCGGACAGTTTGACTGCTCGAGGATAAGTACAATTTCAATTATCATTATAACTCGCACGTGTATGCGCTCATGTCATTTAATTACAATCCTATGTCAAAACTGATTGTGAGTGAAGAAGATGAAGATATATACACGGAAAGAACGGTTTTGCTAAAGTATATCTAAAAACTTAGCTAGATACAGATCTGAAAATAATTTTGTTGGACCGTCAAAATAGTCAGTAGGACGTTTGAACATGTTGCAAAAAGTTTTAACATTCTAGCAATCAGTTTAAACATCCTATATAATTATTTTGATGATCTAAAACAGTATAATTTTCAGATCTGTATTTAGCTAAATTTTTTGACAGTTCAGCAAAACCATTCTTCCGTGCATACATGAGAATTAGATAAATATTCGGACGTATATACTCGGATAGTGATCTTCCGATCAAACATTTACTTATTCGCAACTGTCATACGACTCATACATCATTGTGTCTAGTTAGGAGTATTATTCGTTCGCGGCCGTCCTCGTCGGGCCGCCCTCGTCGAAGCATTGACATCACACCCACATAATACGGTCGACATACACGTGCTTGTCCATCGTTAAATTGATCGTCCTTAAAAATAGTCGGAAATCCTAGCGCCAACGGTTAAAGGCCACTTCCACTCTAGTTCTTATCCCTTCTCTCGCGTTTCTTTGGTGGGATTGTGAATCGCAACAAAAATAAATCCCTACTTTCATATTCCGCTCGCGTGGACCATGCAAAGTCGGCGCCCCGTACAGATACATACATATATATATATATATATATATATATATACAAGTACCGCGTAATAACGCGGTAGAATCACGGTAGGATCGCATGAGGAAGGTGCAACCCGCGACTACGATCGCAAGGAGCGACTTTGATGTGAAAGAGATCTTAAATAATGTCGAACGATTAAATTCGCGACGCTGGTTTAGACAACACAATCGATCTTGACCAATAAGTCCATTTATAACACTGGTATTAGACGATATAAATTCAAGGAAAGAACGGTTTGCTGAAGTATCTAAAAATTTGGCTAGATACCTGAAAATAATTTTGTTTTGATCATCAAAATAATTATGTAGACCGTTTAAACTGATTACTATAACATTAAAACTATACATTAAAACTATCATATTAAAACTGTTTGCAACATTGACTGTGTCTGTGTTCACAACAAAGAAAACTAATCAGCTAGAGCTTAGTTCTTTGCTGGATCTAAGTGTAGGAATCAATCATATTAAAGAATCACCTCGAGAATCACCAAACGCTAACTGATTAGTTTTTTTCTGCTGAACGCAGCAAATGCCATCAACGTTCAAGCGTTCTACATAATTATTTTGATTAAACAAAATTATATTTTGGTCCAACCAAATTATTTTCAGATCCGTATCTAGTTAAATATTTAGGTACTTCAGTAAAACGGTTCTTTCTTTGTAAGTCGTTCGAAATGAACGCGAATGCATGGCATTTTTCGAGTATCTATAGCAAAGATGCTACAATATCATAATCGATCCGCACGGCGCTCTTGCTTTCGTGTTATCGTGCTATCTCGCCTAATGATCCTCATGGCGAGAGAAAAGCAGTTCTTCTTTTTCTTATCCCTTTTCAGAAAAATATGATACTTACCGGAAAAAATGGAAGCAATGGCTGCGATAATGAATGAGAAGACGACACCAGGTCCGGCAACGCTGCGCGCCACCATTCCTGCGACAAGGTACATCCCTGTCCCGACGCAGGAGCCAACTCCTAAAGACGTCAGGTCCAGAGTCGTCAGGCACTTCTGCAAACAGTAATCATTTCGAAAACGTAGAAAAGTTGTATGTTTAAATAATAATAAAGCAGATAAAATTTTTTAATGAAATTAAACCGTACGACTAATATTTCAATAACGTATCGAGAAGAATTTATCTACAATTTACACGACTTTTAATATAGGAAATTACCCTTTTTTTAATTTGGTGGGTTTTTATGTTTTATGTTTTGAGTGTTAAATTAATGCATTAACTTTTAATACTTAAAATCATATACAAAAGTGAAAACGTTTCGACTAACACAGAGTCTCTATCAATTCATAAATTAATAATAAGAAAAAATAATAATAATGCAAGCTTTTACATATTAAAGAAATAATATTTGAATGTAAAAAGTCATGTTAAAACTAGACTATCAATTCAATAATATGACATAAAAGTCATGAAGATATCTATATATGATTTTAAATATTAAAATTTTAAATATTAAAAATTAATGTATTAAAATTAACACCCAATTGCACGATTTTGATAGTTTTTATGTAGTATTTTTGCAAATTAACGAGCCTACCGTCTATTTTCTTTAACTTAATATATTGTAGTCTATATAAATAAAAAACATGTATTTTTGTTTCGTGCTCCTTATTTTGATTTGGACTACAAATTAAAAGCTTATCCAAATCGAAGGAGGCCACTTCCTTATGTTTTTTGTAAATAGATTCTTATCTCATCTGTACGCTAAAAGAATCCCTTTAAGGAATACTTTTTGAAACAAATATTTATTTCAATTACGTTAACATTAAATTGCACTTTGCAACACGTTAATCTATTTTCACAGACTAGAGATGGAAATATATTATTCGTTATTTTATCCGAAACAATTAACCTAAATAAAAAATAATTCCGGAGAGTGATTTATTTTGGTATTACATCGAAATTGTTTTTCTTTACAATCAAAATAATTGACCTAAATAAATTGTTTGGAACATCGTTTTTTATTTTATATACCTGGCAAATTCCTATATTTGATTTTGTCCAGGTCACGTCCTTCTTTAAAAATCCGTAAATATCGTGGAAAGATGTTTGACATCGCACAACCGTTATCTTCAATCGTAAATCGTAATGCCAGTTTAAATATGTAACGATACAGTAAATGATGTAGCGATCAGGGACAGAAAAGAACGAGAAACGTGATCTCGTGTTACTGCCGTTTTACAAAAAGATACGACGGGGATCTTTTTGCGACGTTCTACAGCCGTATGCATCTTTGAAGTTAGAGTAGATACGATTGAGGCTTCTAGTCGACTTCTTTCTAGAATGTCAGTGCCATTTTTGCAACTTGCCTCCGATAGTTATTAATAAACGCAAAGCCCTTCGGGGGAGATTCTTTCTCACATCGGCTATTGGAGTTTCTAAAATGCTTGGCACGGATAAAAATAAAGTAATCGCCAAGAGTTATTCTCGGTGGGCACGCGTAGTGTTACTTAACATTACTTTGTAGTGTGAATCTTGTCCGACTCTAAATGGTACTCTTTTATACCGACAAAAAAAATTGTTCATTTGACTAAATTAATTTAGTTCGTCTTTATTTCTTTCGTCGGAGAATGTATGTATTTAAGTCAAATATAATATGTTCGATTTAAATACATATATTCTCTAACAAAATGAACTAAATTAATTTAATCAAACGAACAATTTTTTTTCTCAGTGTTTATAATTCAGAAAGTTTATAATTCAATGTTTACAATTCAGTCTCGAGTGTTCAAGTTAAATAAGTCGAATGATAAGTAAAATAGATAGATAGGATTTATCTAATAGCAATAATTAACAAGGCCTTTGGAGTCAACGCTGGATTAAATCATGGATACATAGAAATTCTCAATAAGTTATAATATGTTTATTTTTATCATTGACCGATATGCTTTGTTCGTGCGACACGTCTTTCTTTGTATTTAACGAGTAACAAGAGACCACATCAGAACGAACATATCTTTCTTTTGAGTTACTTAAATTATTTTTCAATCTAACGTTGACATTGTAATATTTAAATGGTTGTAATGAATTGACGATGCTTGGATCCACTTGTGATCGTTGTTGGAGATGGGGTGAGTTTTAGACTAACATACACTAATTAAACAAATCAATATCTATTTTTCAAAAATTCTCGTTGCTATTATCAGCTTGAGTTCCACTATCTACTCCACTCAGCTAAGCAACTGGTTGGCACAACATTGGACTATGTTGAAGATGGTTGTATCTCACCACATTTCCACTGCGATTGCATATTTGGAAGTCGGAACTACGATTGTGCGAGACGCAGTTCGACAGATTTTATAGTGCGATAAGCGATAATTTTTATTGCTGAAGATGGCTAAAATAGTAAGCCGAAACGTACATAAGTTAATGATTTAGTTTAATGAATGTTATTTAGTTTTGGGCAATATAAAATCCAGCGTTGACTCCAAAGGCCTTGTTAATTATTGCTATTATTATTGTATTGATTTAAGGAGTCTATAAACTTTGTAATTTTTACTCAAATTTATTTAGGATTTATCTATTTTGTGTAATCGAATGTATAAATTGGATGTATCCATTTTTTAATTAACCATCGCCTTAATATGTCTACGAATTGGAGTTATAGCTAGTCACATAGATTTGATAAAGCTTCTCGTATTTGTTGCACCGGAGAATCTCGGAGAATAATGCCACAATAACGATGCCTATCCGCTTACTCGAGTCGCGATTGCATAAGTGGTAGAATAGCGATTTTGTGTACGCAGCAAAACGAGTGCCAAGAACTGCACATCAACCGACTTATTTTGCTCAACAAGATATTTGATAAAAAAAAAAACAAATACACTTAATAAAAACAAATAACAAACTTAAATTTTTAATGCTTTATAACAGAAAATCACATTGAAATATTCTTTACCGTCAAATGGATTTTAACATTTTGACTGCCATGTCACCTATGATGACTAAATGCGACCGACGCGATGTCTCGATTTTGGAGGGACAGTCTCGGGTTTCGGAATGCATGTTCACTGTTCCAACAAACACGTCAAATGTCCCAATTATATTGCGAACAAAATATCGCAAAATACTGCCAAAAAATATTTTATAAATTTTCCCAAGTTGTAAAATCATATAGAAATATATTACCGCTTTCAGAGGAAGTAATTCAGTAGTTGAATGAGTTTTTGTGTAATGAGAACGAAGTGTAGGCAGCGGAAAAACTCAACTTTGAGTTTATATTTTAAATGCGATATCAATAAAAAGTAATTAATTTTGATGGTTTTTTGGATTGACACGAATCTTATACATTTTTTAAGGATTCATCTTCCTTAAGCAGATAATTTAAACAAATGATAAATATAAATAATGACATTATTTTTAAAAATAAATTGCTATTATTATATTTATTTTTTTATATATTCAAACATTCTCCCTTGCATTTAACAAAATCTCTATCCGAAAATATCTCATTATTCATGATGCTAATATGGGTGACGCGTAAAATTTTGAAAGATCTCATTAAAATGATTGTATTAATTTTAAGTATTTAAAGTATTAAAGAAACAATGTGAGTTACATATTAACATTGTAAAAAAATTAAGGTAAAGTATTAAAATAATACATCTATTATAAGCTCAATGCCAAAATCAAAATTGGCAGTGCAAAATGTTAACGCACGATTAACGCGATGTGTTAATGAATAATGTATATTTAAAATAATACAATTATAAAAAGGACTACGAGCCAAAAATATTAACTTTAATATTTAAAATACACACATATGTTTCGACAACGTTTGCGTCATTTTGAATGTACAACAATAATAATTTAGTTATGAACGATTTACATATTAACAGTTGGGCGATTTTAACATTAAACTTACTCTGCTTTCCTTCAGACCATCCCTCTTATATATATTAGTCGTTAAAGGTGGTAGACAAAGCGCCATATAATTTAGCAGTAATTTATGTGAAGTAGTGGATATTGTCAGAATATATAAATCTGTTAAAGGACACATTGTAACTTAATAACCCCGAAAGATTTTTGTTTATAGTACTAATATCGCTATAATCTTATAACAATTTACTAATATACACAAGACTTATAACTTTGTATATCTTTATAAACCGATCGCATTCGAAATACATAAATATACACTTAATACAATCTATATTTGAAACTAAGATTAGATTGTACCAGATTACACTTCCGTATACAACAATTGAAACATTTATAACTAATATGCAAATTAGAACTTAACGAGAATAAATAGTATATGAAAATAATAATTACAGATGAAAATGGTATGTATATTTATAACTTCATAGACATGTTTTGGCATTGCATAAAATAATTTTAATAATTTGGCTGGATTAAAATGTCGTTATATTTGAATTGTAATTTGACAATGAACCTACGCTTTCATTACTATACATATAATAAGTAACAGAAATCAAATGCAATATATCAGATCGCAATTAAGATTATCAATGTAAATTAATAAAGATTATTAATTATGTATAAACATATTTAATATATATTTTTCTTTAGACTTTTTAAATTATAGATTAATTACTTTGTTCTCTCTCTCTCTCTCTCTCTCTCTCTCTCTCTCTTGAAATGAATTTTTTAGTCTAACATTCATTTGAAGAATAAATTTTTTTTCTTTGTTTCAACCGATATTTGTTTAATTTAAATTGTTATTATTCCTTTTCAAATTTTCATGTTCTATGAAAAGAGTAAAATTACGTGATTTAAATAAATAAAAAATCAAACTAATAAAATTGAATCAAATCGCTGCGTATTGTGCACAATCTGGCGATTTACACAGTGAGAATAGAACTCGGAGCAATAGAGCATAGAAATTGTAAACTATTATCTTTTGATATTTATTCACAATCGTTGTTTCACTATAATGTTATTTAAATTTACTGTATATTTTGTAAAGCTACGCTTTGGATTCTTCATCGATGCGAAAACAGTTCGCTTATTACCGTAGTAAACGTAAGTCATC